TAATCAATTCATTAAATCCAACTCCATACAACTTAATTATGTTGTATGGAGCTGTATGAAATCCTTAAGGATTTCATTTTGATCATGGATTCCTTAACGTTGCTTTAAATTAACAATAGGAGCTAAAGTTTTGAGGTTATTGGATCATTTGCGAAACTTTTAGAGAAAAAGCAAGCAGGAAATTTGCTGAAAATATATGTAACAGAATAGTCACCTGATGACGAATAGTTACTCAAATGTTAATAGCCTCGAAGCTACACTAATAGCAACAAACATTCAAACAAAAATGAACTGTGTCCGTAGGTTGAAAGTGAGATATAATATCTCATCATACAAATGCTTTTATTAATTATCTTTTAAATTGAACTAAAAAGTAATCAATATTTTGTCAAATTTTATAAAGTTTAATCTGTGGAGATTCTTAGAACATTTTCGGGAATAATGTTTGCAACTTCTTCAATATTATGAATTTCATTTCATCTGCTCATCTTAATTTGCTAACCTTCGTGCATTTTTGACTTAACTATGAACCTTTCATCATGGGAAACTAAACTAAGTTCAATTGCTACTATTTAAATAACACACCGTCTTCAATTTACTCTTCATTCTCAGTCACACTTCTGAAAGCCTGTATTTTACCACTAATGTTTTGGAATTTGGGCAGCATGCCGAGATGCTTGTGATCTTAGCTGATTAGTAATTACCAAAGATGCGTTGCTCGGAGTACTCAAATGTGGTTTAGGGCGGATGCGTGACTGAAACCACTTGACCAGAGTGTGTTTATGAGGATCAGTGAGGGCAGTGTTAATGTCTAACAAGTACAGTACTATTTATTTTTTGGATTTATCTATCTCTATACCTCAGTTCCCCCCAGTGTGGTAGCGATGATTTTAAAATGTGATCAAACGCAAGTTCCGACTCCACGATCGTGCTACTCACAGACACTGCAAATCAAACAGCATCTAGTCGTCTTTTCCTACGTTAAGGAGCCATTCGGTATATGAAAGTGACTGTTAAAATATACGGTGGAAAGTTCGTCTTCTATTTTTTACCTTTTCCAACGAGCTTACAATATTCTCTATTTTCTGGCAACCTCAAAGTTATTTCAGAGCTAATCATTTTAGGTAGGTTATCGCATATCATAGAAGTTTTGTCACGATCGTTATTAATCAGAGATTACATTTTGGTTGCAGGGATCGTGCCGCTCGAGCATCTGGGCTACCTGTTCCTGCCATCTAGATATTTCAACAAGTTATCTATCTTTGTTTGGTTTAATATATCATTATGTCTATTAATCGCACAACCTATACTGCTGCGTTTCTGAAAAATGTACAACCTTTCGTTATTAAAGTTACAAAAAGCTCAAAAAGAGAGAATATGGTTGCTGGCAATGTACAACGAAAAGAATGTACATCATTCCATGTTCACTTACTGGACTGATAACACCAGCTGGCGACCACTCAGTATTTATCGCGAGGACCGACCAAGAAGAAAGAAACGGAAACTTGTTGAAATACTTTGTGCTGAGAATTCTATATTGTACCAATAATATAATATTGAATAAAGCTATTAATAAAAAAAAAAAAAAAATTTATGACTCAACATGAACGTGGCTTCCTTCGATACATACGACTTTTTGTCGGTCGATGTTGAATTTAACTTTCATTCCATTCTTAGCAATAGTATATTATTTATGTTAGCGATGATCAGAACATCTATATTTTTCTGCTTAGGGTACTCTGAATCGGTAGAAAACATGGTCGAAACGAGAGCCAATAGTTTAGTCCACTCCCTGACGCTTATATTTATACCAGATCAACAAAATTATTCTGTTATCTGCCTGATGGTACCTCGCACACGTGGATGTCAAAGTTAGTGTAATTTATGCTTTGTCACGACATGATAATTCCTACATTCAGTGTGTCAGTAAAGCTTCCTCACCAGTTTTTATCTTTTTCAATCAAAGTTTCAGGGTTCTCTAGGATAGGTCGTTATGAAGATCATTGTCTTTTACTGAATGTCGGGATAATTTAGCAGAACCAAGTTATTGGGAATCGTCCAAGGACGTCATGTTAAACAAGATACCTACGACAACATAGCTGTTCAAGGAAAATGTTTTCCAGCGAATTTTGAGTTACCGACCAGTTGTCAAGAATCTCGCTGGGAGTATGTAAAATTATGGTACTGATCAGTGTTGACTGAACTTATATCCGCTACCAAAATAATAGGCCCGATACCGAAACTATTGATTTGTCATATCATCGTATATACTAAATCGGCAGATTGGATGCGACTAGACGACTCGGACTTCGCAGATGACCTGGTACTTCTATTCCGTACACACAAACAAATGCAGATGAAGACAACAAGTGTAGCAGCAGCCTCTGCATCAGTGGGCCTCAACATAAACATGAAAAATAGCAAGATCCTCAAATACAACAGAGCGAATACAAACCCTATCACACGTGATAGATGGGTTCGCGTAAGGCTACGTTAAGATAAACAGACCGCTTAGCGTATGTAGGGATTGGTTTCCCACATGTTGCCTGTAAGTCGTGTAATCGACCGTTAGGATTTTCTGGAAGGACACTAACCCCTGCTTTAGTGTCGACGAGGTAGCGGACTTTCTTAATCACATCAGTGATGTATGACAGACGACTATATCCACTGGTTATGGCTGCTGTTAGCGCGTCCCATCTGGGAAGTTTCCCGAAACACTTTTCATGTCTGTTGGTTCGAGGCCCGGGGAACTGCAGGGTTTTCTACGATTTCGAGAACATTTTCTTCACTGATTATGATGCCAGCATCAATCAGGGTCATCTTTCTCTCTTGACCTAAAGACAGATCATTTACGTGAAATACTCCTTCGAGGGGTTTGAGATCGTCCACGGTCGTGACGAACACTAAGGTCACACTCCAGAGTTTGACAGAGTTCTGTAGCGTCATTCTGTTTCGTTTGAGGCTTTTCGTCAGCTGAATGAACATTAGTGTTCGAAGTTCTGGTGATCTCCGTATTTCGGTCGGCAGATGCGGCCGGCTTGTCTATAGCGTTGTTTTTAAATGAGACAAGAACTTCCTGCACCTGTTGGGGAAGTTTAGACAAGAAATGTTGTCTAAACAGGCTTTCGCCAAGGGCCCATTGACCAATGACCTCTCGTTCATAATGCCACATCTGTTGTTGAGCCAGGTTATATATCGATGTTAATGAGGAGCTGGTCCAACACTTGCCGACCGATTAAATCTAGGTGTCAAAGAAAAGCTCTTTTTAAAGTTTCGCACGATTCCGTGACGTCACCAGTAAACATACTAGGTGTGATGTGCCTTTTGAATTCGCGTGGTATTGCCTTCACTACTGCGAGGAATTTTGCGCGTGGATTGGTCACACTGTGTTCGTGAAAGTCAGCTTCTGTGCAGCGGAACCAGGCGTCGATATGGTTATAACAGAATAGCATTAGGTGAAATGAGGGTGGTGTGAGAGTTTTGGTCTTAGATAATTTGGGAGTTTGTTCGGTCATGATGAATATAAAGTGGAGCAAAGAATGAGGAAACAAGATATCCAAAAAATACCAAAAAATATCACAAAATGTAAAAATAAAAGTAAAAATTGGTAAACAAAGCTTCAGAAGGGGACAGACTCACAATTTACATATAGGTGTGCCAGATCACGTCGGGTTCACTACTGAAGATGCCACAAGTGTTCGGAGCTTGGCAGAACCTTATTTGTAATATATTTTATAGTCGAAACGTGTCAACGCATTGAAATAAGAAGCGAAGTGGTTCGAAGGTATGCTTGATAGAATATCGATATACCGAGAACTGACTAACCTAAGCTGACCAGCTGTTGTAGCAGAAGCGAATCACACAGTACCCACTCTTGATCAGGTGAGGATCCTTCAACGAGTGCCTTTAGCTAGATGAATCAAGTAAAACTAATGCGATCAGAACCAAATGTTGAAAATTTACAGAGCTATTGATTTTAGGGACTCATTTACCGCTGCATGCTGGTAGGTTTAGTGAAACGAGGTATTAAAATGTGATGTGGCATTATGCTTTCCGGATCTTGCACTCTACGTGGCGTTCTATGCTTTATAGTTATGTCTTTAAATTTCAGGACGAAAAAGCTTACGCAAGTATTGTGCATGAGTAGCTACAGATGAAGCAGTTATCGCGGATGTACATAGTCTCGTACATCGTGTAAGCGACTTTGAGAGGCTGACTCTGGTGATATGTTGAAGATTATTTCTGCGCAGAATAATAAATTTCGAGAAAATAGCTTACTATAAAACTCATTGGGACTTGTAAGCGCAGTTGAAAAGTGAAAACGATCAGTGATTGATAGCTAACCTGTCAGTGCATGAACAGAAATAGTCCTATGCTTACATGTTGTAATATTTCTGTTGGTTTATACCTACGGTAATCTTCCACTTCAATTAATGTCCGGGTACTTTATTTATGGGTTCCTGCCAGAAATGTTGTCAAGAATAACACATTGCCTCCTATATAGAAGGGCTAATGAATTGGTAATCTTTTTTCCTTGTAAAGAGTTTATCCCACTCAATCTTCAGATTATTAGGAAAACAGTTGATCTCAACCCATACGTACGGCATGAGCGATCCGATGTCAGGTGAAGTTTCATTTCTTATTATATATATCCATAATGTATCAGTACCAAAGTGTCGGGTATCAATGAAGTAAAAAAGAGGTAATTCATTAATAGTAACTTTTAAGTCAACAGTATCGAGTTCATTCACAGAATTATGATGGATTGAAACAAATGAGCTGACTAGCGTAAAACGAACAGTTACGAGAATATCCATTTACTTGAAAGACTCACTTAGCAATGATCTGACCACGAGCATGTGGGAGCTTACATGTATATAACCACCACTCAAAACAACTAATAAGAGTGCAGGTATATATCTCGCGCAATTTACAACTGATGACGGTGTAGCTGAATAAATTGTGATCCCAGTTTCCGACCTAGATTGTCATAATCTGAGGCTTGTTATTTCTGGTTGTTTTTTATTGCTAATTTTTATAAATGTAAGTGTACTGTATGCACATAATTGGTCTTCGACCTTCTTTTTCTTGTGTTTTTTTCTAACCGTCATTAATGATTGGGGGATTACTCTACTTTCCACGTTCCCCTAGTACACTAAGTACCTTCTGGCTAGACGCAAAACTCTATGGTGGCATGTAGTTTTCTGGTAATATTTGGTCCTCAGTATCTATGTTGTGTTGGTGAGCTCGAGCTCACCACTATTCATATATCCCGAACTCCGAATTTCGGGGAAGCCGCTATAGTAAACTTCGAGGAAATTTAGGGGAAATGGCACTAAAACTCGAAATTTTCCCCAGACCTGGGGAAATTCCCCAATATTTCCCCCTTTAACCTTGGTGAAGGTCATTTGACTTAGGAAGTTTCCCCAAACTTGGGAGATTGGGATATCATTAACTACTTGTTGTTTAATCAATGCTCGCATAGTTGCGGGTTAGAACCGCATTTCGAATACATCGTTGTAGGATAGTTAACAGTAAATATTATCGTAAAACAACAAACTTTGACCGCGATCAGACCTAAGTTCACTGACCCTTCGATAGTAATATTACTAGGTTTATATCAACCTGTCCTAGCGGCAAGTTAAGCAAATGGTCATGCTTTTAGGATCTCATTACCATACATGTATGTGGAAAAAAGGGACTGAAAGAACCAAACGTGTTAATTGGGTACCCACGAATTTAGTCAACTACTGAATGAGGTCTAACAGTTCGTTCCAAAAACTCTGCATAGACGTGATATCGTTTTTGTTCGTATGACGGCGGTTGGTATCCATCATGGTTAGCGGTACACAATTGACTTCAGATACCAGCCCCAATCATGTTATTAAGTGAAATATTTTAAAATTTAGGTTTGTTTGGATATAATAAACGCTATTGCTAAAGCATCTTGATCAAGCTACATAACCTAGACTTGTATGACAACGAATCTTAGACTGCGTCTTTTAACAGGGAGTCAAGAAATAGACCACAACGGAAACACATATAACTGATAACTCCACATAATAAGGAAATTATAGAACAACCAGCTTGTCTGAATGTGAACAAAGTGGAAATATGCTACTGTTGAGGGTTCTCATCTTAGAGCGATCGGTCTTAACAGCCATTGTTTACAGATGCTCATACCAACATTAAGCGGTACTCTGCAATATAATGGTGGAGAGTACATTCTTAATTACGGATTTCAATCAACTGCTTAAATATAAATCGAGTAGCCTTTCCGTTATAAAATTAAAGCAGATATGTTTCATATAACAAGTGCATTTGACATACAGCCTCATTACTTGTGGCTCAATTTGTCAGACTGATGTAATCTTAATCAAGGTCATTTTATGAATAAAAAACCTACATCACATCATTGACATTATTCGTCGATTCGACTGACACATGCTTTGATTTTTTTAGGGTTTAAAAAAATCAAGGGATGTCAAGTTAGTTACCAAATATATCGCAACATGTTCCCGATAGATTCTTGCCAAAAAAGATATCGTCGAATACTTCAACGCAAAAAAGAAAGGCGAAAACAGGAAAAAGTTCGCAGGAAGATAGCTTCGCGCAATAAAATAAGGGAAGATATAGAACTAAACCGTTATCACAGCAAAAAGTTCCTGAAAAACGAGGTCTCCAACAGATTGCAGATCGCACTGTATGAAGGAATAAGGATCTACATAGATTGTTCTTATGAAGCTCTTATGTCTCCTAAAGTTCGTGTTGACGCGGAAAACTATCACTTTGTAGGAATGTAATAAATTCGCTCAACAACTATGTCGTCTTTATGGCGCAAACAAAAAAGCAACGAAGCCCTTAAGCATCAACCTTGTGAATTTTTCACAACATGGACCTTTGTTCCATGCTTGCCAGTCCAAATGTGATGGATTCCTAAAGTATAAGGTCAGTGTCTTGTAAATGTAACAGTTTTCGTATTCTCCACCTCTTAATCTTTGTGTTGGGAAAAGCTTATTCTTGAAAATGCGTCGATTGGATCTAGTGTCATTTAGATTTTTTAAAAATTCTTATGTTGAAAATTGACACAACTCCCGTTAGATTTGTGTTGACTAGATGATCAGTAGCTAAGATTTCATACACAGTCTTTTGATGTGTTGCTTGTGTCTCTATTTTCTAACGTTAGTTACGTTCCTCAGGGTCCAATATCGTTCAGCGACGATATTATATTGTTATACGTTATAAAAGGTTTTGTTGAAATGCTAAACGATAGCTGATTCCCTCGAGGGCCACTACTTATAAACTACTGGATAAAATTGGGCCTGTTTATTGATAAAGGGAAAGTAAGATTCTGGGACACAAAACCAGCTATCTTACGAACATCAAGGAATTTAAGCATTACTAACATCTTACAGTTGGGGGAATAATGTCCGGGAACTGACACGAAATTTTGTCGAATTTTCAACACCAAAGTACGCAAGAAGGTCAATTACATAATAATGACACATTCATGTAGGTAGGGACCTACGAGTAAATCGTGAATATGTCTAGACCTAGTCTCTCCATACACACCATGGATTTTACATTTCGCTGAATTTAACTGTTGTGCGATGAATCCTGAGAGGGTTAGTGGTACTGCTGCCTTATTGCTCAGATAGGGGGTGTATCAACCCGACTAGTTGAGGTAGTGAACCACAGCTTCGTAATACGCTATTAAGCATGCTATAGATGGTCTAGAATTTCATAATTGATGTTTTGGAGTAGGTTTATGTCTGTTTACCCATCAACCCTATGCTCCATCGTTGTTTCAAAAACCACTGAAACAACAGCATTTGCATAAAATATAATATAGAACATAATCCTATTTGTAGTGCGCGATCAGCTGTTGTTTACCAATGATGTAACTCCACTATCTCACTGGCCTGGTAAATGGGCGTATGTACGTGTGCACTTCTATCTTCGTGACAGAAACGATTTATATCCGGATGTACAGTTTTTGTATTATTTCGCGTTATTACAAAGTGCTATTTAACTGTCTCATAGATTGGATTGTACTCTGAAACACCATCAAGCATCACGCCAGAAAATATAGAAATCGTGTACCTCAGTCCGGACGCAAAGGAACCATTGATATCTATATCGGAAAATTGTGCGTACGTCCTAGGATGTCTTGTGGATGAGCATATATTAAAGGTAATGCTGTATAGTAGAAAACTTATAGATTTGCTAACAGTAGTTATAATTTTTTGTAGTAAGTATATTCAAATCGAATCGTCAGATATACTACCATCAACTGTTCGCTCAGTTAGCCCAATGTACAGAAGTAAATGGACGAGTTAGAAGGAAAAACTAGACATAAAATAAGAAAATGTTTAAGATTTGGATAAGTGTTTAGTTTTGTTGTTTGAAACATCTACTGTTGCTATTTATCGAGTCACTGACTTTTCACATGCACTCCTAGTTTGATGCTTAATTTTACCTACAATGCAATGACTGTGTGATTATTATGTTTATTCACCCATTCTCCTTACACCCCTATAAAGGTTAGAAAGAATAGACGGTTCTGATTAGCACTTATGGTCATTTTATTAGGGAAAATATTGATAAACCTTCGTAAGGCGTTGGTTTCTTCTGTTCCAAAATTTAACGGTAGGCTAAAACCATAATTGACTCGCTAAAAAATAAGTGGCTACCAAAAAGAAGTCAATATGCCCTACAAACTGTGACAGATTCAGAGGACTTCAAATTCCTAAACCTCAATTGCTTTCTTTCAAAATATTGAAAAGCAAAATTGTAGCAGGTTTTGCTTTTTTAGACAACGGTGGTGACGAAAGTAGATGAGAGGTCAAGTAGCTGAATCCACTCATATACAATCAGCGACTGTTAGCACTCGTGTTAAATATCAGAAAACATGGCTACTCCGCGATGTAGATTAGCATTGTATATGTACATATATAAGATATTTGACACTAATAGCTTTTTTCATTCTGACAGTTTAATATTGATATACTTGTCCTATTAGTATTTTTGTTAACCACCGACATCTACCTCGTCTTTCTTATAAATGTTAGACCGTCATTACTTCTTATTGTAATTTTCCTGATCCCGAACGACTGTTAGTCTTAGTTTCTGATTTGTACCTACCTCAACTTATTATCCTACGGTCAATCACAATAACTACTATGCTCCGAAAGACTTCGCTAGGGACTCAATGTATTCATTTTCTATTAATAAAGTGATAGACAGTTGATATGAGGTTTGGTTTTCAAATGTCGCAAGTATAAACTGCACCTATTGTTTCTACTGAAATGGATACTGATCGTTCATATTTCGACGCTGTTATTTAAACAGATAAATACTGCACGCAAGAAAAGTTGTTTAGAACAAATATGAAGGTAAATATGAATTGTAATCAAATTCATTTCAGTATTTTCCAGGTTGCGTCTATTGTTATACTACTACACTATACGTTAACTTTTATTCTTTCTAGGGACGAAGCCGACAAGAAGCTGAGAATCGGGGTTACCGTGCCGTGCGACTCCCAATTGAAGAGTTTACATCTGGAAAAATATCTAACCCTGTGTTAGCGATAAATCATGTCGTCGATATAATGTTAGCATACATGGCAAATGGTGGCGACTGGAAGGAGGCCTTATATTCTAAATTGCCCGGACGATTTTTGAGATAATACATATATATGTGAAATTTTGTTATAACTTATGGAGAAATACAAGAAGTTCTATAATAAAAAAACCATGTGACTTCGGAAACTGAATTACACGGAAGTTAGCGACTTGATTTGGCACGAAACGGTCTTCAAGTTATTTATAATTGTTAGGAAATCACCGCATGTAGGACCTAAGAGGCAAGATTAGATTAAATATTGTAACTTACGGTAATTTAGTACTGATAAAAATCCGTAAGGTAAGCAACGATACTAAGATGCATCCGATTCCTAGTGCCATCAGTAATATACGGTTTAACTTCGTGACCTTGGCCTCATTGACTTTATCCATTACGATAAATCCGAAGCTCCCCATAACAAACATAAAACTGGCTGCAAGTCCTTCGAGTATGTATTGACTGTTTAGGCGCCAAACCATGATAGCTACCTAAGTCTCATTGAAAAAATGTTGAATATGACTTACCGGTTTTTGATTGCCCCTGGAGTCCGTTTCCGTCCCCATGCTTGGCGGTCCAACGATCATATCGTAAATGACCCCTATATGGCGAAATAACCATGCACATAAGCACAACAATGTACGATCAACCAGTTCTTAACCGACTTTTAACTTTAATGCTTGCATTTCACAGTATGAAATTAAGGCATAAAAATATCGTGATATAAAAAAATGGGCAGAAACTAACTATATATTTGTTAGATCACTTTGCTAGTTATTTCCGGGGGTGGCCCACACTTTGCGGGGAAAAGTCATTTGTCGGGCATTAGAACTTATACTTGAGAGTTGTTTACACTTACTAATAAGCCAACATTTGCACCTTCTTCGTCACATAATACGAAAGGTATACATTAAGAAGCGACACATCTCGGGAAGGGATATTCGTACGACTAACAAGTGCTTAGTCGCATTTTGGTAGTCGAATCTCTGGTTGAAATGAAGTTTCAATCCGTTGGTGTTAAAACCTGTGAATATAGATAGCTTCTAGGGGAACGGGATGCACAGAAGTTGTCTGGCACTAACCCACATCTACACACTAACTTTCGCCTTAGTTTTGGTTGGGAAAAGACCTTTTGAAAGTCACTTGCCTGATTGGAATTTGCGACAGATAACCCTCTGTAAAATCATGCATTTTAAACCAAGGGTACGGAAAGAGAGTAGCAGTCGCAATAATAACTTGACAGCATACTTCATGACCCGAATCGCTACATTTTTGTGGTGCAGATAATGCTACTTGGCTTCGTAAAAAGAACTGCAGCTCACACATGGAATATGGTTGAAGATCAACCGCCGTCTTACAGAGTGCACAGGAACCTTGAATGACCGTTAGGGTATTTTACGTGAGCTGTAGCTATCAAAGGCGATATCTTCAAATGTAAAAACAGACCTCAATAATTTAGTGATTATTGATAATCCAATGCGCCCGAAGTACCCTCTAAAGGACGTCTCAAGTTATGAACCACATCCATGGTAAGTACTAGTAGTACATTTGAATTAGGTTAAATACTACAATGAATTGAATATGCAATACTTCATTTTAGCAGTTGGAATGTTTCATAAAGAGTCAAATGATTTCATATTATACAAGTGCATTATACAATTTTTATCCATATCTTATATCGGGGAGACAGTACTGCTTCATCATTAGTGGAAGACGACTTTGGTAAGGCTCAAGTGTTCTCGAACTACTTTAGCAACGTATATACCATAGAAGCGCCCTTCCCGTCAGCGTATACAGATCCCCCATACATACACTGGATAGCGTGACCATTAAAGAACTCGATGTCTTTGGTCTGCTAAATAAGCTTGACATAGGTAAATCCACGGGGCCCGATGAATTACATCCTAGGCTACTGAAGGAATTATCTAACTTCGTTGCAAGCCCTTTAAGTACATGCTTTAACCTATCCGTTACGCAGGGTCGTTTACCAAAGACTGGAAAAACGCCATAGTAAGTCCTGTCTTCAAAACAGGCACGAAACACAAACCTGAGAACTACCGCCCCGTTAGCCTAACTAGTGTGGTTGTTAAAATCTTAGAAAAGATTATTCGGAAGGAGCTGTTTAAGTATCTCGATAAAAACCGGATCCTCTCGGAGAAGCAGCACGGCTTCAGAATAGGTTATTCTTGTCTCACTAACTTATTAGTGGCTCGTGAAAGCTGGTGCGCTCTTAAGGACCAAAAGCTACCTGTAGACGTCGCCTTCATTGATTTCAGTAAAGCTTTTGATAAAGTTCCGCACAACCGGCTGTTATATAAGTTAAGAAAAGTCGGGATTGGAGGCAATTTATTGATGTGGATAAAAGACTTCTTAGTTGGGCGTCAACAAAGAGTAAGGGTGAACTCAAAGTTATCTAGCTGGGAAACTGTGCTTAGTGGAGTGCCCCAGGGTACAGTTTTGGGGCCAGTGCTATTCCTCTTGTATGTAAATGACCTTCCTTGTCTCCTATCATCATCGGTCTTGCTATATGCTGACGATGTCAAGATATGGAGAACGATACGATGTAAGAGTGATAGCTTAGAACTTCAAAATGACCTGAAGAGATTATCTGAATGGTCTCAAACCTGGCAGTTGCCGATAAATACTTCCAAGTGTGTTGTGATGCATATCGGTCATCAAGGCACAGATACATACACGATGAATAACACTGAGCTACCTGTCGTCCAGACATATAATGACTTAGGAGTTATCGTTAGTCAAGACTTAAAGACTACTGCACACTGCCGTGCAATAGCCGCCAAAGGTTTTAGAACCTTATGGTCAATACGTAGAGCTTTTAGTCATGTCGACGCCAAACGTTTTTGACTTTGTATACAGTGTTCGTTCGTCCTAAACTTGAGTACTGCATACAAGCGGCTAGCCCCTGCTTAAAAAAGACAGTGAGCTTCTGGAAAAGGTTCAGAGAACGGCGACTAAGCTGGTTCCCGGAATAGCGAAGCTTCCGTATGAATCTCGACTGGCCAAGCTGAACCTTTTCCTGTTGTCATATCGCAGAACTAGAGGCGACTTGATTACAGTTTTCAAATTGCTTAGTGCCAAATTTGCACCTAACATGCCCTCGTTTTTCTTGTCTTCCAAAACAGAGAATTTACGAGGACACTTCAAAGAAGTTCATAAGCCGAGAACAATTTACTTGTCAGCTGACTATCGACTTTCCCATCGAATCATCAACGAGTGGAATTCACTACCTCAGCACGTGGTTGAGGCTCCATCCGTCGACTCTTTCAAAAGAAAGTTGGATCAACTGAGAGACCACCATTGCCAGGACTAACATAGGCCATCGAGCCTCCTGTCCTTCCCAAACTGAAACTGAAAGTGTCTTGAAGAATACCGGTAAAAGTCGGGGTGTTAATAAAACCGTCAAATACCCTGTAAATAACAGCTGCCACACAATAAACACTTCGCTAGCACTTAAAGCAATAAATGTGACCCCAATAAAAGTAAAAAAACCCTTAACAATCATAAATATGAGGACACAAGTGCAAATCAGATCTTACCACCTGTGACTAAAAAGTAACTAAGGATGAGAATGGAAAAGAAAACCATTGGAGACGGCCATGTTATGAAACTAGGTTTCTTTATTTTTAGTCTAGGGCACTCAACTATTGCAAATAGTGGTGCAAGGACACAATCCATTTTCGTCTGTAACGCAAGGTTTTGAAAATGCTGACGTCGACAAAAGCAATTTGGTTTAAGGAAAATGAAACATACGTTTCTAGTCCTGGCAAACCATAGTCTACAATATGATAACTAAGGTCTAATACGTTCTAAAATCACTTAAATTTTGAGACATAGTGTCTGTTCTGAAAAAGATTTTTTAAGCCCAATCCATTACATGTTGTCATTCAAATGGTCGTGGATGGAATAGAAGAAGCTTTTGCTCAAATGGTTCAAATGGTTCAAATGGTTGTGGACGGAATAGAAGAAGCTTTCGCTTAACAGGCTTCCGTGTCTAGTAGCAGGGGATCACCAAATCCTCCAGGCAGGAACCTAGGTATGTTAACAATAAAAAGGAAAAGAAATTGGTAAATCATAATGTGATGCTGTCCTTGGTCCTTAAGAATAGGTCAAGTTGCCTCTTGAAGGACTCCTGAGAAGTCGCTTGGACTAGCTCGGCCGGCAGCGAATTCCAGCTTTTGACAACTCTTAAGGAGTAGAAGTTGTGTCTACATTCCGTCTTGCTATGTTGTGTTTCCAGTTTCTGGGTGTTACCCCTTAGGTTATTATTCGAACTAAGCTTAAGTAGGTGTTTAAGAGGATGTCCAGAAGTGTTAAGAATACTGTAAGCCATTAGTAAATCACCTCTAAGACGCCTATATTCTAGTGGGTAAAGGTCTAGTGAACGGAGGCGTTCTTCGTAAGGCTTAGATTTGAGTCCTCGAACTGATTTCGTGGCTCGCCGTTGGATACGCTCCAAAGTGACCTTGTCCTTCTGGAGTGAGGGAGGGAGTACTATGTTTCCGTACTCTAAATGGGGACGGATAAAACTATTGAAGATTGTGTGGAAAGTTCGTCCGTCAAACTGTCCAAAAATGCGCTTCAACGTTACCAGTGCAAGGTTTGCTCGGAAGGCATTTTTGTCACAGTTAGCGTAAGACTTTAAGTCATGGGGTACCAGGACTCCTAAATCTTTTTCGACTTGGGATACTACTAGAGAGGAGTTTCCTAAGTTGTAACTGTAGTTTGCTACATGTCGCAGATGGACTACTTTACACTTTGAAGTGTTAAAGGTAAGTCCGTTATCGTCTGCCCAACTTTGAAGTCGCGTCAGATCATCCTGAAGTGCCTGTGTATCGTCTTGGTTGCGTATCTCTCTCCAAAGTTTCACGTCGTCGGCAAAAAGTAATAAATCTGACGTCACCTGTTGAGGAAGATCATTTATGTAGATCAAGAAGAGAAGAGGCCCTAGTACTGAGCCCTGGGGGACCCCACTAGGACATTCCATAGCCTGAGATAAAGTGAAATTAACCCTAACCTTAAAGTGTCGATTTTTTAGGTATGAAGTAAGCCAATCGATTAGAGGTGGTTTGATACCTAGTCGTTTGAGCTTGTTGATAAGACACAAGTGGTTAACCTTATCAAAAGCTTTTGAGAAATCAAGGTAAATGACATCAACCTTTCCCTTGCAATCGAGGATGCTTGTCCATCTGTCCACCGCAGTCAGCAGGTTGGTTATACCAGAGTAACCCTTCCTGAAACCATGCTGTTGGGGTGAGAAGAAATTTAAGGACAGTAGATAGTCATTTAAACCGTCGCATATCAGGGACTCCATGAGTTTTGAAGGTAATGACAGAAGAGCCACCGGCCGATAACTTGAAGGTTCATTGCGTCGACCACCTTTGAAAATTGGTGTGATGTGAGCCAACTTCCAATTTTCCGGTAATTTGCCTCGGCTAAGCGAGAGTGAGAAGATCACGCTAAGCGGCGTTGCCAGGATTGAGGCTGCCTCCCTCAGTATGGCAGGATGAACCATATCCGGGCCAGGAGAACTGTCAATTCTTAAGTGCTGCAATTTCCGGAACACCAATTCAGCGCTTAGGTTCACTTCGGAAAGTCCTGTGGAATTGCAGATGAAACTGTCATCAGTAAAGTTGATGTCGGTTAGTTGAAATGTCTGAGAGTAATGTTTAGCCAGAAGATTAGCGGCGTCGCCGTTGGTCGTGGCGTTAAGACCTAGCAGTTGGGAAACTCCAGTTTTGGCTTGACGAAGAGAGGCTGCATAACGGAATAAGCCTTTTGGATTAGAGATAAATTTGTCCATAAGCTTTGTCTGGTACTGAAGCCTGTCATCTCTTATAACCTTCATGCATATGTTCCTTATATGTTTGTATTGCTTGTGTGCGACGTTATTGTCAGTTCGTTTGTATTCTGCACAGCAGTGCCTTTTTCGGCTTAGGAAACGAAATGTGAGGTTCTTGATGATTGTAGGTTGCTTGTAGCTTTTGGGGACCGTTTGAGGAACCGACTACTTTGTTGCACGTAAGAGCGTGTGCAATAAGAAATCCCAGTGAGCATTCACATCAAGTTGAGGGTGAACATTCCAATCTACCTGGTGTAGATAGTTCTGTAGAGTTGACACATTCAACCATTTGAAATTCCAGAGCATGTTGTTGGTGGGATATCTCAGCTCAGTTTTGCTGACAAAAGTGAAGGCAATAACGGCGTGATCGCTTTTCTCAGGGGAGCCAGGACTGAGAAGCTGTCAACTAGAAATTCTTCGTTTGTAAATACCAAGTCTAAGCGCGACGGTATCCGACTGTTTCTCCAACGAGTTTCCGACTTCACGTTTTCGAATAATCCCAGATCCTCAATGAGGTTGAAGAACCGAGCTCCAGTTGAGTTTTCACTTCCAATATACGTATATTCCGCGAAGTTGACTCTAGGGAGATTGAAGTCACCTAGAATCTGGACATGAGTGAATCCGAGACGCATGGAGCGGGATAATCTTTACAGCACACGATTGTTGTACTGGGTGTCAGCAGTGGGCTTCCTGTAGATGATGTCAACTAGGCACCTCGAAGTGGTAGACAATCTCACTGAGCATCATACGGGTTCATCATGATTGATAAACTCTTGGTTGTGTACTTGGTGAACTTCCAGACAGGATAGTATGTATAAGGCTACTCCACCCCCATTTCCTGTTTTTCTGTCGTTGCGAAACAAAGACATCTCAAGTATTGGTAGCTCCTGGTTCGAGAACTGAGAAGATATCCAAGTTTCATATATTTTTATAAGATTATCATTATTAGCATTGCAAAGTTCACGTGGCTCATTCATTTTATTTGGAAGACTGATGTCGTTCATGTATAAGTAGTTTGTACTTTCAACTTGAGACGTATGAGCTTCCCCATTTTTGTCTGTATGAGCCTTACGTGAACGGACAGGTAACCTACCTATATAAGGTTCGCCGATTCGGTAGGCCCTGTCCTTGACACGTTTTTTAATGGTCAGGACAGTCCACGGTTGGAACGGTCAGCTCCAAGTTGCCTTTTTGCTTGATCCTGGCGTCATTTGGCCTATTCGGATGCAAACTTATTCCAATTGGCAACCGACGTCTGTCGGTGTGAAATGCTCCCAGAGTTGCAGCCGCCTTATGGGAGGCTGGGAAAGTTATCTTCATTATCCGGGGTCTAGAATCTCCATCCTTTTTGTCTAGTCTCGTCACATGTTGAGTCAGTATATTTTTGAGCCTCAAGGATCGCCTGATGAATTTTCACTCCCTATTATCAGAGTTTGTTTGAATAGAGTCCGTGTTTACCAGTACACCATGCACAATGATATTTTTTCCTCCGAAAAACTTCCCGCGGGATTCTTTAGGGATTTTCTGAATGAGATTGCGCTCAGAATACGATATGCCGGGCAGTATTCTTACGTTCCCATCGGATTTCAGTAAATGACTAGCTAGCAGGACATACTCTACGCCGATAGCATTCTTAAGTAGCCTCGGGTGATTTTGATGCTAAGAGTCCTTTCTACGAGTGAGCCACGTGACAGTCAAAGGCTTTATTTTAGGAAGTTCAAGCTTTTTGTTTAATTCACCCCAGAGCATCCTGTCATTTTTGTCCTGCAAACTGAGAGGAAGGTCAGGGTTGTCTTTGAGGTTCATAATTACGAGAGAGTCATCATGAACCATTATTGTTTTCCCAGGTTTTCCGGTGAGTTCAGGTTCAGCACTCTGTTGTTTGGAGGTCGAAGCACGTTTCTTAATCGTAGGCTCTTTGATGGCCGGACGGATGTTCTTGGGTATAGACTGTGAGGCCAAGTCATTAGTTGATTTCCGTACAATACTTGGGGTGTTCAGCTTAGACGGTGACGTCTAGTCATTTTTAGCCCTGTTAACGAGGGTCCAATCACCTACAGAGTTTTTGAGAACCACTGTTGCATTCAAGGACTTTGTACTGGAAGACCCAAGTTTGCTGAGGGAGTGCATTACCGTCAACGTAATGATGGTGCTGAGTTTCAGCATGTCACCACAAGTGCTATTGCATGCCCCGTCGATATTAAACCTGTCGACATCCCTATTCTTGTTTTCATTGAGCGTCCTTGCTTGTCTACCCGTTGTATGACTGCCTTTTTCCAAGTTTGCTGACAACTTATTCTGCAGATTTGTTAATTAGACAATGCTGTCACGCAGCAAAAATACAGCATTCATGTTGCACTTAACACATACCCACTTATGATCGGACTTGCTGAGTTTGTTATAGGCAGTTGCTGTGAGATCTGTGCACGCTTGATGGAATCAACCTTTGCAATTATCGCACTGTATGCCAGATGTAACAGCGAAACGGCATCCAGGTCGTTCGCACGAATTTTTCATGACTTTATTGACGTAAGCTGTATTATAGATGATAGCAAAGGTATAAAACAGTTAAAAACACACTAAAAAGCACACTAAAAACGGGCAAGAATGGATAAAACGAGTTAGGAAAAATTGAAACTGGCCTTTACGTGAAAAACTGAAAAAACCGAATAGTAAGCTATAGCAAAACCATAGTTAAATATTAAATCGGGTGAAACTGAAAAAAAGCAATCTACCAAACGTATAGCACAGAAAAGATTCTTTAGATCAGAAATGGTACTTTCGTTGCGTAAGAACACAGCAAACGTTTGAGAAATGCAAATAACGTTAGGACTAAACTTCCCTTTCAAAAAGCGTGCAGGTCATCGGAGCAGCCATAGTAACTGGATATGATGGCAGGGTAACCCACATTAGGTACTAACAGCGAGGTGTGACCTTGATGTCAGATGGTAGGTCACATCATTCCTATCTAAACCGAGTAGACCTCGGATCACTCGGCACAAGTCATCTGAGCTGGTGAATTGCAGATTCTATATTATAGCATTGACCGGTGTAAGAACCATCCAACTCTAGTGAGGATGTTTTACCATGCTTAGTATTTCCTAGACAAATGTTTATTTTTTGTGCTGACTCTACTGTGCTATCAAAATAACGTGCAGCAAGCTTATTTTGGTTTACACGTTGTGACTAGTAGGTAGGCATTTGAAGAGAGAAATGACGGAGCGTATATAAGCACTTTCAATTCTTTTATTAAGTTCTTTAATCGATTCTTACTTTGGCTTCCTCTTCATCTTTTCAACCCGTTTCACCTCATTACACGTTACAGCCTAAATTTCTTTATCACCGTGTATTCTTCAACCATATTCGTGTATTTAATAGCAACTAGTATGGAATTTATCTACTGATTAAACATACATATATCTGTTCCACTGCGAACACTTTAAGATTATTGAGGACTTGCTATTATTCGCCTACTGCCCGTATTTATTTTCTTTCCTTTTTTAGCACCACGTTTATAGCACACAGCTATAGAGCTTTAACCTGAGTTTGGACGATTTACCTTACGTATGCGTCCGTAAATATAACAGACTATACTGGGTGCTTTCTACTCATTACTTTATGACAAATTATTACTAATTAGACGGTTTCATTACACAGATAGTTAGTCGATAGAATTCCATGAAAATTTTATTGTCAATCATTTCTAATTATTCATGTAGTCTCTTAATGACTGCACTGGGATAGTACCCCTCGCATAAACCCCGAATGTATGTTCTTATTGAAGCCAGTAAATTGATATGTAACTACTTTGACATAAATCATTATTATTACTAGATGGGAATGAGTTATATCACGTACATTATTTGTGATCTGCTTGTGTCCAACTGTGGTGAGCGATTATTGCACATTTTAAATGCTTTATGCTTTTGACATTTATGTGTAACAATATCACTATACAACCCTATACTTCTTACTTCAAATTAGTAGTTCTCAACGGTCAATTATGCCTTGTTTACGATTTTACTGCATAAGTACTTCATGACCACTTAGTATTCAACATATGAGAGCGAACAAGATTATTTTCAATAAGATCCCCATCAGGCTTTACTCTAATATACAGTAATATTTATATACACATATGGACTTATTAAACCAACCCAGAAAGTTTATGAAACAGTTAAAACGTTGGAGTAGATTACGTTTTTTGAAGAAACACGTGAATTCAATAAACACGAAAGTAAAGCGATAAACGGTTAACAGGAAATC